TTTAACTTTATACACAAGTGACAAAATACTATAACCATTCATGATGTAGAAAACACGTAGGTTCAAGAAGTCTTAATACAACACGACAAAAACCCGAGAGCTTTCGAAAGGTGGACCTTTCTTCTTCAGGGGCAAACTAAAACCATTTTGCCAGCTTAAAAGTTATAGAAGAATCAACATCAAACTTATCTATATTGTTGAGGAATTAGAAAAAAATATAAAACTATGAAGAAGATATAAAAATCAAACAATATGAGAAACATATTTTAGGAAGGCTTTTCGTAAACAGCTTCTGTTTAATGTTTGTTAGTGATAAATACTTGGCATGGATTGTTTGTTTGTTAAATTTCACGCAAAGCTACTTGAGGACTGTCAGCTCTAGCCGTCCCTAATTTTGAAGTGAGGGATCACTAGTCAACACCGTCAACTCTTGAGATACTCTTTACCAACGAACAATAGCTATGATTGCGATTCGAGCATCTTACTCGCCGGGCCATGACAGGTCCCTTCCGTACTGAACCTGAAACATTGTAGGATATGACACTTTAAAAGTTACAGGCCTATTGGTTTTAAAGCGTTTATAGTATTATAGTGCACTCTCACACACATATATATAGCATTTCAGAGAACCTTTTGTCTTTCATCGTCCAGCCTAACTAACGAGCTCTGGCATTGAATCAAAGGTCTCTTGAGCAGTGAACCGAAGGAGACGGGGAACATATCTGAAATGGTATTTTTACTTTCCTCTGATTTTGAATCCAAAATGGACAAAGTCAATTTACCGAACGAGAGCTATACATGACACAGAGAAAACAAATCAGAAACACAAGACGTTTCGAAAGACTTCTGGCTTTCGTCTTCAATCATAACACGCTTTTCACAATCCACCAGAATACTATAAAGACCACTACACCACACACACACACACTGACCTGAAGACGAAAGGCGGAAGACTTTCGAAACCTCTTCCTCTACACTTGTGTTTCTACAACAGGCAGTTGCCGTCTGTTCAACAAAGTTTCATCATGAATACTCTGCCTAAACAATCTATCAAAGAAAATTTTTTTATTGGTAGTGCAACATTTGTGTTGGTAAGAAGAAAATATATTATCGTTTTTTTACGCTAAATAGGATGTGAGAAATTATCATTTAGATT